TAATTGATGATAACAAAGAAATTTCAATTATGTGGATCAGGATGAATAGGCTATTACTAAACTTCTTTGTGTAATTGCGATTCAATGATTTAATCCCAAAATAGCTCTTAGCTCTTGAAATGTGAAATCTATACAAAATAGATTAAAGAATTTCAGCCAATGAATTTCTAATTCCGATAACATTATCAAATTTAAATTTTTATTGGTTTAAAAAAAGAAATTCGGTTCGGTTTCAGTTTTATGCAAGAAATTTGGTTCGGTTTTGGTCTATAAACTGAAAGTTCGGTTCAGTTCAGTTTATAAACTGAAGATTTTGGTTCAGTTTTGGTTTACCCATAAAACCAGTTCGAACCAAACCATTAGGAGCTTTAACCAAAATTCATACCAATTTGATATTCCAGGTAATGTTGATTTTTCTTCTTCTCAGAACTTCTATTTGGTTCACTGCAGTTATGATATCTTCACCTTCTGTTACATCATAACCCAATCTCACATATCATTTTATGGCATGGGAAACCTATAAAATAATTTTATGATATGATATCACCAAAGGTAAAGTGAATTTTAAGAAAAATTTTTTTTTAAATACTTGTGCATGATGTGAGTCAATTGTTGTTTTTGCTTCTCCTGGTTCCAAAAAAATCCACTGATGTACTTCTACATTATACCATTCTTTCCAATGATTGATTATTGTCATAAGTTCAAAACAATGGTAATGAGCACCATTATCAGATAATACCTTAATCCAAGATGATTTTGTTTTTAGTGTATTGAAAACAGCATCAAAAGCAGATGCTGTAAACAAAGCATCTTGGATTGTATCAGAGGACCAATGGTCAAATGCTTTTATATTTATTTTATCAGCATCATCTTTTGTATATGTTAACATAGTACGTAATGTCCACCCTTTTTTTCAAAAAATTCAGACTTTACTTCATGTGCAGATTTTGGCAACACTTTCATTTTATAATCTACAACAACAATTGCTCCATCTTTATCCAAAGTTAGTATTGCTGCATTGAATTGAGCATTCAGGTAAGTTTTTCTTGCTTGATGTGACCAATAACATTGCAATTTCTTACAATTTTCTAATAAAGTAGTTATTTCTTCAGGTAACAATGTTACTAGTTTTGCAAATAAATTTTCTAGATTTTCACATTTGGCACAGGTCTCTGGATGTAATTGTGAGCATTGTCCAAATGCATAAGGTAGACAAGGTTGAATACAATCCACATGGTAAGAATTCCCTAATGTATCAATTTTTAATTCTTTTCCATATTCAAATTTTAAGTGACGTTGGGATAATTCAAGTTCATCAATCAAAATTTTCTAATAATATTTTATTTGAATAATTTAAAAATCTTGAAATTCAAATTTTCTTTTTTTTTCTTGAAAAAAAAAATTTCTCACTAACCTGTTGATTATTCTTAACTTTTGTTTTCTCCAACTCTAGGAGGCTTATCCTATTTTACCTGGACCATGGTGGAATAGGTTAAACCTAGGCTGGACAAATTCTGATAGAAAATTCGCTAAAATCATCTGGAACATTCACTACATTCACTGTGATTATCCATGATTATCACCAGGTAAATATCCACCTGGCGAGGTAAAATAGGATAAGCCTATTTGTACAACTTCCCCTGTCCAAATGTGCTGCAATTAAAATATGCTCTCCCAAATTTAATCAGTGACAATGTTATTCTTTCTGATATATACATATGTTCATGATTAAACCTTAGATAGTAAATTATTTTCCTTCTAAGGATTTTTGCTTTTGTTGGACAAAAGCACACTTTCATCCTGCTTTTCTTTTCTTAATGTTTATTATTTTTCTTTAAATTTCATAGGTAATATTTTCTTTCCTTAGATAAGCTTCCAATGTCTGAGTATCATTTGTTTTGAAAATACAGGAGCAATTTTTTCACCTTGTTCCTTTTTTAAAATACTTCTGATAGTACTATAATTCTTGGGTTCCATAGTAGATCTGATATAAATTAATTTCTTATTAATTATTTTTATATAGAAGTAATTCTATATATTACTTAATATTAAAAAAAACATATAACAAATGAGAGATTTTAATAATCACATTGCTAAATTTTTATCCCTGTAATTCTTGGTAATACCAATGTTCACTTTGTCTGGTTTTGTTGCAGCATGCCACAAATTATTATTACAGGTGTAATTATGAAAATAATATACTGGTTGTGTGGTGATCATAGATACTGGTGCTGTTGCTGTTGATGAACAGCCTATTCCTATTTCATAACATTCAAACATATTTACAAAACCAGATTGATTCATTTCCTTTGCATTTTTAAAAAATTCATGTTCTGTAGGATCAAATGCTTCATCAACAACTGACCATAGAATTTCTTTATTGTATGCATGTCTTCCTGTGCTACTAATGCTATCCTCAGTGAATCCTGAGAAGAACAATATCATATGTTCATGTTCTGCTTGAATTGATTTAATTTGCAACATCAGGTTTTTCTTGTAATATAAAAAAAATAGCAATAAAAAATTTGATTTGCAGGACTGGCAAATGTCAATTTTTTAGAGGTCTATTTATACATTTTTGTAGACTACTTGATCAATTTATTAGGCTACTCTATCAATGCCATGAAATAGGAAATGTTTTTGCTATCTATACTATTCACTATTGCATAAAAGCTTGTAATGATTATTAATTGATAAGTTTTTGTCAGATTAAACATTAAAACCAAAAACCAATTTCAGTTAAGGTTTTCTCTGATTACTAAAATGGATAAATGATAGAAATTTATGACTTCATTATAGCAATTTTTGACTTTAGACACACATTTTAGCAAACTATTAATTAAAACTTCATTATACCATTTACATTGCAACAACTAACTGAAACTGGAATGCTAAATGTCAACTATTTTATCATTTAAATAAAAGAAATAAAAAACTTTTTGCTATTTATTATCTGGCTAGTTCAACATGTAAGAAATTTTATAGAAAAAAAGGGCCGAAATTTTTGTCTGAATTAGGCCAAATCCAACTTATTATTTATTATCAATTTTACCATCTATAAGATGCATTCGGTGTGGTATTCTGTTAATTTCCCATGCAAAAGCCATTCTGCTGCTTTAGAGTGGGGTTATTAAGGACACGCACAGTAGCATTTTGCAAAACAAATTTTTATGAATTGTTCTTTTAGGAATATGGTTAACATTTAATAATCAAGAGAGAATAATAATAGATCTTATAAAAGTAATAGTAAAATTTAATAAAAAAATTTGCTTTTGGTATAAAACACAACTTGTTCTTTAAAAGTATTTCTTGTGTCCAATTTTTTCACAATATAGATTAAACTGCCAATGAGAGAATTCAACCACGCTTATTCTTGGTAATATAATTGACGATCTTTGTTATCGAACTTTCAATCTTTACGATTTTACAAAATGCAGATGGATTATGAGATTCTTGAAAAAAATGAAGAATACGAAGACGATTCATGTATTAAGGTATCATCCCATTTTGAACAGGCCGATGAATTTTTTTCCAATTTATCAATTCTTTTAAAAGCTACTGCAAAGGATGAAAATTCAGACCAGGATGATGTTGAACAAGAGAGAATTTTAAGAAAATTAATTGGTTTGGTAAATCTTTTTGATAATTTTTTGCACTATATACAAATTTGATATAAACATAAACATACTTACATACATAATATCCTATACATAGATTGATCCTTACCAGGAACAACCATATCTTTTAGACCCACATTTAGAGAAAATGGTCAAACCAATTATTGAATTGCTTCGTTCCTATATAAAATCAGCTATAGCTCAATCAATGATTGTAATTAAATTTGGGACTACAGATAATCCTGATTATGTTCAAGTTCCTAAAATTTTGAAAAGACTTTTTAAACTTTTATATTATACCATGAAAATTCGTGGCTATAAAACAATTGGTAAAAAATCAATCATGATGATATTTTTTATATAATTAATAAAAGCATAATTTTAATATATAAATATATATTAGTAAAATTCTTCACACATGAAGTATCAGATTTGGAACCAACATTTTATTTTATGCTATTACAAGATCCAAAAGATTATAGTGGTTGGGAAACAAGATATGTGTTATTGATATGGCTTTCTCTCATTTCTATGATTCCATTTGATTTAAAAACAGTTGATAGCAGGACTAGCACAGGAAGTGATAAGGTAAATACAATAAAAATAAAAAAAATTTATGACATTATATCTATCTTAAATTTATTTTGTAATGGAATATTTTAGATTCCTCTTGTTGAAAATATGATAGGGTTATCAAAATTTTACCTTAAAGCCACTGGGAAAGAAAGAGATGGTGCTGCAATATTATTATCAAGATTATTGACAAGGTTTTATATAAATAATTTGACAAAAATAAATTATCAATACTCATGCAATATTAATTTTTAGACGCGATATGGCTGAAAAATATTTGAATAATTATGTTCAATGGGCAAGAGATGAAGCAAGAAATAACAAAGACGTTTTTACAGTAATAAAACCTTACCATATTTTCCAAGTAAAGCTGGTCTTTCTTTGCTTAAAAATAAAATACTAATTGAATTTAAAATCAAAAAGATTACAGGAATACTTACATCATTATGTGCAACCTATAAACTTGGTCAAAGACAATCTTTACTTCCAACATTAGAAACTGCATGGCCATGTCTCTTTATTCTTGAAGAAAATCAAATATTTGCAAACAATGCTTTAGTCAGAAAAATGCTGGTAAAATTGGCTCAAAGATTTGGATTATGTTATTTAAAACCTAAAATTGCATCTTGGAGATATCAACGGGGTAATGATATTATCTGGAAAAATTTATTCAATAAATTACCAAAGTATTAATGTTTATTGTTTGAACTGATTTAGGCAGCCGATCCCTAAAAGATAATTTACAAACTACGTCAAAACCAAACATTGATCCTTCAAATATACAAAAATCATTAAAAGAAGAAGGGGAGGAAGATGAAGAAATTCCTGATCAAATTGAAGAAATTATTGAAATTTTATTGAATGGATTGAAACACAAGGTTAATCTGAACAGATTTTAAATGCTAATTTTCAATCAATAAATGTTAATATCAATTTTTATTAAATCAGGATACAGTTGTACGTTGGTCAGCAGCAAAAGGACTTGGCAGACTTTCACAGCGTTTACCACAGGAACTTGCAGATGATGTAATTGGATCATTGTTTGAACTATTTTCTGAGAATACTTATAAACGAAATAACCTGTTAGAGTTGTCAGCTGTATCTGATTACACATGGCATGGAACCTGTTTGGCTGTTGCAGAATTGGCAAGGAGAGGGCTGTTATTACCTGAGAGATTAAAAGAAGTCATACCTTGGGCTATCAAGGTTGAAAATAATTTATAACCATTTAAAAATTGACAAGAATAAAATTTCTTTATTATAACATATTTAAAAAAATTTTTAGGCACTAACATTTGATTTGAAACGTGGCTCACATTCAATTGGTGCACATGTAAGAGATGCTGCATGTTACGTATGTTGGTCCTTTGCTAGAGCCTATGCACCTGAAGTTTTAGCACCTCATGTACCAGAGTTGGCTAATAGTCTTGTTGTAGCATCAGTATTTGATCGTGAAGTCAATGTAAGACGTGCAAGCAGTGCAGCTTTTCAAGAAAATGTTGGAAGACTGGTAAATATAAAAATAAATTGGCCTGTTTTATTTAGTTTGCTTTAAACTAATTTTTATGTTTCAATAGGGTATTTTCCCTCATGGGATAGAAATTATTACAACGGCAGATTATTTCACTGTTGGCAATAGAGTAAATGCATTCTTAGAAATCAGTGTGAAAATTGCAAAGTTGGTATTTTTATATTTTTCAACTGATTTATATATTATAAAATTTCAAAATTTATTAACTAATTTTTATATAGGTTTTCTGAATATCGATATCATTTGATTGACCATCTTAGTAAAGTTACAATATCTAATTGGGACAAAACTATGAGAGCATTATGTTCAAAAGCATTATACAATTTAGCTTTTCTTGATATTAATTATATGGTCAATAGTGTGCTTCACTTGTTAGTAAGTTAAATAATTATGAATTTTATATGTATTTTTTAATAATAATAATAATAATAATAATAATAATAATAATAATAATAATAATAAACTCATTTCTAGATACCACAAGCGTTATCACATGATATGCACACAAGACATGGTGGATTATTGGCTGCTGGTGAAATATGTTTAGCATGGTCAGAAATCAATGGAAATGATAGAAGTTGGGTTGAAATACATAAGAAATTAATTGAGGTACTTGTTTAGTTATCATTGTTGATTTTGAACAAAATTTTGTTTTATTAATCATTTTCATGCAATTAGGAAATTTCATATATAATTATTAATTTACCAAAAAATCTATTCACTGATTTTGGATCAGAAATAACATGCCAAGCAGCATCACATTATATTTCATGTTTGTCAAAGGCAAATTGGCCTATTACAAATGATATAATGGTTGTTTGGAAAGAAGTTGTATATGATCTATTAAGTAGAAAAGATGAATATGGACAAGACGTGGCTGTTAAGGCAGTTAAGGAAATAGTTAATACTTATGGAATTCAAAAAGAAGAAATTCTATCATATCCTTTTATGTTAAGGAAATAATGTTTTTTCTAAAGCCTTATTTATTTACTTAACTTTTTGAATACATATATTAATCATATAAATCCAGCAAAAAACGTATATGCAAGAAGAGGATTTTCGCTTGCCTTAGGTGTTGTTAATTATAACAGAATTAGTCCATTGTTATTAGAAAGTGTTATTGATGCATTAGTAATCTCAGCTAGCATACAGGTTAATTTTTTAAAAAATGTCTATATATTGCATTAAATTATATATTTATTTATTATTATTTAATTTTTAATATTTGAAGAAAACAAAAATATTGAATGACCCTGAAACAAGAAGAAATTCAATTATTTCACTAACAAAAATTTCCACAACACTTGGGGAATCTTTTAAAACAGGTAAAATGGTTTTATTGCTAATTTTTCTTTATTTAAATGTAATTTTAACTAAATAATGTAAATATTATTTTCTAGTTGCTTCTGAACATATTTTTCATAAAATTGTTGATACATATTTTATGGGATTGGAAGATTATAGTGCTGATTCACGTGGTGACATAGGGTCATGGATACGTGAAGCATGCATGAATGGATTTATGGAATTTTGTCCATTGATACAAAAATTAGATTTTAAAGGCATGAACTGTAAACCTTGGTGGACAAATGACTTATCTAAAAATGTTTTTTCAAGTTTATTGAAACAAAGTGTTGAAAGAATTGATAAAATTAGATCTTGTGCAGGAAAAGTTTTGCTTAATTTATTATATAAAAAAATAGTCATTGATGGAGAAGAAAAATTTTTATTTGATGTACCAGGGAGAGAAATATTGCAAAAAATTTTGCCAAGGTAATGTAATAATTATATACATGTTTGTAAGTTGATTTTAAAATATAATTAAATTGTTTTTTTTTTTTTAGAGACAAAGAAATTCATTGGATTAAACCATCTGAGTTATATCCAAGATTAATAAAATTATTAATATTACCTGAATATAGATTTGATTTATTAACAGGCTTAGTGATTGCTGCAGGCGGATTAACAGAATCTTTGGTAAGATATTTTTTGATTTAACAGTATTTGTCATTTTGAGTTTTTTTTTATTGATCAATCTTCAATTAATCTAGATAAGATATTCAGGCAGCACATTGGTAGAATATGCAAATCAACTTCCAATATCTTTGGATGATTGTAATAATGATAATGATAATAATAATAATGATGACAGTGATGGTGGCGATGATGATGATGATGATTCAATAAATTTAATACTGGAAAATAAATCATTATCATTAATAGAATTTTATAACACACTACTTGAAATATTTATTAAATGTGAAAAGCAGGATAGAATTGTGATACCTTTATTAGAAGTTATAGATTTATTATTTGAGGCTGGTATATTACAAAAAATTGATCAAAATAATTTTAGGTATGATTATTGTATTATCATTTATCTCAAGAAAATATGAATATTTTATTAATGATCCAGTTTAATGATCCAGTTTCATGGAATTATTTGAGTGCACAAAGAAAATATGCACAAAAACCAAAGATATTAGAAAATTAACGGCTTGTATGCATGTGTAAGTTTAAAAAATATTATTTATAATTATAATTATATATATATATATATATATATTAAATGTATATCCTTTTATTGTTAAAAAATTTAATTTTAGATTTTGTGGTATGACTACATTAAGCGGTTCAGTGAAAAATAGAGCATTATTTCAATTACTTTCACTTTTAATCCATCCATTTCCAAAGGTGATCTAAAAAAAATTTATTTATATCATCATTAAAATTATTAAAGATGACATTTTAATACCTGTGTCTATATATATGTATGATATAAAGATAAGACGATCAACAGCAGATCAATTATACTTAACAATTACTTCAGCAGCTGAAAATGAAGAATCTGAACAAATGTTACAAATTGAAGATATATTAACTAATACTGATTGGTATTTTATGATTTAAAATTTTATACAATTTATACTATTTATTTATAACTAATTTGATTATTATAAATAGGAATGATTCAATACCAGAAATAAAAAAAGTTAGAGACAAATTATATCCACTATTAAATATAAAACCACCAGCTATCAACTAAACGTTAATCATTTTTTGTTGGTTTATTTTCATTAGTACAAAAAAAAAATAATTACATAAATATAAATATAAATAAAAAAATTTTCTTTCAATTAAGATTAACTTCAAACTTCGAAGTTAATTATAATCATAATGTGACCATTGGTGACATACCATCGTCATCTCTTAAATTTTGTTGACTACAACTGTTAATGTATCCTCTTGGAGAAGAGACTGCATTTTGATTTTTGATTTATTATTATGATTATGATGTGCATCGTTGTTACATATGGGACATTGAGGTCAATTACTCTGATCTCTTATTATAGTATTATGTCTAACTTTTGAGCCTACTCCTTTGTTGTTGAGGGTAAGTTTGTTAATACTATCTTGCAGTGTTGTCAAATTTTCATTGTTGAATAGACATTATTCATGATAAGTGTGTTGACAGAAAATATAATTGTTGCTGTATTAAAGTCGATGGGTAGTGTTTTTTTATTTTTAGATAAATAAAAATTGGTTCAATAAAAATAAAAATAATATTAATTAAATAGAATTTATAAAAATAAACTTACAATCAGAAATTATTGGTGCTGAACAAATAGAACATGGTAAATTTTCTAAAATTGAAAATAATCAAATGAAATAAATTATTATATTCTCACATCAGTTTCTTACATATATTCTTAATTAATATGGAGGAAAAACCTCATCTAATAACCTTCAATTGAAATTCCACGTTTCTGTGCTTTGTGAAGTTGATTAGCCATCGAAACACTGTCATTAACCAAAATTCTTTGACATCCTTCTCGTAATGATGCCTAAATAAATAAAAATATTTTAATATAATGATGACTTTTTTAAAAAAAATTATACACATATATATATACACCTGTAAATTAAAATCTTGAAGAACTTTTATCAAGGCATCTTTCAATCCTGGGATTTCCAATCTATCAGGAATTCTATTTATCAAACTAATTGGATCAATACTTGTCCCACCAAGATTTTCCAACAATCCAATAATAAATCCTATTTGACAACAACAACACAACAATAATATTAATTTATATTAACAAAATCAAAATTTTTTCAGTGGAACATAAGTATGTTCAATTTAAACTAACTTGGTTTGTCCAAAGAATATCTCAACAAATCCTCCCAAAGTATCTTATCATCTTGTTCTTTAGCAAAATCTATTGCCTGAAATTTAAGAATAATATAAAAACATAAAAATCTATATGCATATATATTGCAAAAAAATAATGATATTGAAATCATACTCTTTGAACATCTTGTAGTCTTTCTATAATTAACATAAGAGCTTTTTTATTATTTCCCAGTCTTCCAAGAATATATACCATCTCGGGTACTAAATCCCTCTGTTCACATATTTTAAATGCCTGTATATATATATATGTATGTATCAACATGTAAATGAATGAGCAAATTAATTCTTTAATTATAAAATATAATTAAAAGTAAAGTATTTTGTTATATTAATATTAATAATAGCACCTCTTCCAGTGAATAATAATTGCTAGAGCGCAGAAAATCTATCAATCTAGGATAATCATATTCTGCATATAATTCTACCTATTAAAAAAAAAGCATTAATTATATTAAAAGCTCTTACACACACACGTATATATAATGTGAATATCAAACCTGTTCATTATGGAATTCATATCCTGCATGGTGATCATGAAGAAACAATGCATCCAAATAAATATGTAGAAAGTCTTTATGTGATCTTAAACGTTGAACAACATTTCTAATCTATTGCCATTAAAATTATTCAACATCAAAATTATATTTATTCATCATTTAAAGACATGCATTATATACATACTGGAACATCATGAGTATTCTCAACTAATAATCGAACAGCCGGTCCATCAGTTGCTTTAGTCAAAAGTCCAGCATTAGACTTATTATTTTTTGTAGTATTCAACTCATTCTTCATTTCATCTTCTTCATTTGCTTTTTTTTTAGCTTCAGCTAATAAATGTTGATCAAACTTCATTAGAAGAATTACCTTTTCTTGAACTGCAGGAAATAAATTATATTCTATAATTAAATCAAAAACATTTGGTCTGAGTAATCTAAGATTGTATTCAAGTGCTTTATCAGGTTCATGATTGTATGCATATCTAAGATTATAAAAATTTTAAAAAATTAAATTTTATGAAATAATCAAATCAATTTTTTCTCAAAATAAAATACACCACTTACAATTCTGCTAAACATTCCATTAAAACATTATTCTCGGGTTCTTTTTCCAAGTTATTTTCAATAAGTAAAATTACACTTTGAATATTATAAATTGATGATGGCCAACTCATTATAGTGTCACAAAGTGCCTATAATTTACATTCATTGATTCATTGAAATTAGGATATATAAAGATAAAGATAAAGAATAAATGTTGATATAATATATAATTGAAAAACACTTATAAACCTGATGATCATAATTTAAAAAGTGAGCTAAAATCATTTCATATACGGTGCTGCTTAATTGAGGATCTTTAAATGGTATAAATGGTGTAATTTCCTAAATAGTAAATGATTAGATGATTAAATGACTATAAATTAGAAAGTAATCTTTATAATAATCATCATCTTACTTGTAATTGTCTTAATTTAGCAAAAATAAAAACCCATTTCTCCCATAAGTCAGCATCTTTCTTAAGAATCCTAGTACAATTTTCTGCTGCCTTTGAAAAATCCTCTATAATTATATATAAACCAGAATTGAAATAAATATATTGCTCATTTAACTTATTATTATGAGGGAATATGAAATAAATACCTTGTTCTTCTATTAAATACGACAAATATTTTTCACCAATATCAGTAAAGTCATAAACTTTACTACCACCCCATACTTGAGCTTCTTGCAAAGATGTCAAAGCTTCTTCATATCTGGACCGTTCAAGAAGCCAACATATATGATCATCCAAATCTCGAGGTTTCGACAAAACAAGATCTTTTGGACTAACAATATAAAACATATCTTCTTCAGGAAAATAGTCAAGAGTATAATCGTTTGCTTGATAGTGTTGGTATCCATGAAGTGACAAAACATCTGTTGATATCTCTTCATTAAATGCATTAATAATCCTTATTTCAGGACGTTTGGCATGCTAACAATAACAATTATTAATATCAGATTGCTAAATTTTTTTATAAAAGTAATGAATGTTAAGTATTACTCACAGGACGTTTATATTGTTGTGTATCATTTGAATCAGGGTTATTTGTAATATCATCAGTTATATATGCCAATAGTACAATCATATCTTTGAATGGTGCAATACCACATACAATAAAATCTGTTTGGAACCTTGATGATATAAAAAATTTTTAAATAGTTGCTTCTGAACATATTTTTCATAAAATTGTTGATACATATTTTATGGGATTGGAAGATTATAGTGCTGATTCACGTGGTGACATAGGGTCATGGATACGTGAAGCATGCATGAATGGATTTATGGAATTTTGTCCATTGATACAAAAATTAGATTTTAAAGGCATGAACTGTAAACCTTGGTGGACAAATGACTTATCTAAAAATGTTTTTTCAAGTTTATTGAAACAAAGTGTTGAAAGAATTGATAAAATTAGATCTTGTGCAGGAAAAGTTTTGCTTAATTTATTATATAAAAAAATAGTCATTGATGGAGAAGAAAAATTTTTATTTGATGTACCAGGGAGAGAAATATTGCAAAAAATTTTGCCAAGGTAATGTAATAATTATATACATGTTTGTAAGTTGATTTTAAAATATAATTAAATTGTTTTTTTTTTTTTAGAGACAAAGAAATTCATTGGATTAAACCATCTGAGTTATATCCAAGATTAATAAAATTATTAATATTACCTGAATATAGATTTGATTTATTAACAGGCTTAGTGATTGCTGCAGGCGGATTAACAGAATCTTTGGTAAGATATTTTTTGATTTAACAGTATTTGTCATTTTGAGTTTTTTTTTATTGATCAATCTTCAATTAATCTAGATAAGATATTCAGGCAGCACATTGGTAGAATATGCAAATCAACTTCCAATATCTTTGGATGATTGTAATAATGATAATGATAATAATAATAATGATGACAGTGATGGTGGCGATGATGATGATGATGATTCAATAAATTTAATACTGGAAAATAAATCATTATCATTAATAGAATTTTATAACACACTACTTGAAATATTTATTAAATGTGAAAAGCAGGATAGAATTGTGATACCTTTATTAGAAGTTATAGATTTATTATTTGAGGCTGGTATATTACAAAAAATTGATCAAAATAATTTTAGGTATGATTATTGTATTATCATTTATCTCAAGAAAATATGAATATTTTATTAATGATCCAGTTTAATGATCCAGTTTCATGGAATTATTTGAGTGCACAAAGAAAATATGCACAAAAACCAAAGATATTAGAAAATTAACGGCTTGTATGCATGTGTAAGTTTAAAAAATATTATTTATAATTATAATTATATATATATATATATATATATTAAATGTATATCCTTTTATTGTTAAAAAATTTAATTTTAGATTTTGTGGTATGACTACATTAAGCGGTTCAGTGAAAAATAGAGCATTATTTCAATTACTTTCACTTTTAATCCATCCATTTCCAAAGGTGATCTAAAAAAAATTTATTTATATCATCATTAAAATTATTAAAGATGACATTTTAATACCTGTGTCTATATATATGTATGATATAAAGATAAGACGATCAACAGCAGATCAATTATACTTAACAATTACTTCAGCAGCTGAAAATGAAGAATCTGAACAAATGTTACAAATTGAAGATATATTAACTAATACTGATTGGTATTTTATGATTTAAAATTTTATACAATTTATACTATTTATTTATAACTAATTTGATTATTATAAATAGGAATGATTCAATACCAGAAATAAAAAAAGTTAGAGACAAATTATATCCACTATTAAATATAAAACCACCAGCTATCAACTAAACGTTAATCATTTTTTGTTGGTTTATTTTCATTAGTACAAAAAAAAAATAATTACATAAATATAAATATAAATAAAAAAATTTTCTTTCAATTAAGATTAACTTCAAACTTCGAAGTTAATTATAATCATAATGTGACCATTGGTGACATACCATCGTCATCTCTTAAATTTTGTTGACTACAACTGTTAATGTATCCTCTTGGAGAAGAGACTGCATTTTGATTTTTGATTTATTATTATGATTATGATGTGCATCGTTGTTACATATGGGACATTGAGGTCAATTACTCTGATCTCTTATTATAGTATTATGTCTAACTTTTGAGCCTACTCCTTTGTTGTTGAGGGTAAGTTTGTTAATACTATCTTGCAGTGTTGTCAAATTTTCATTGTTGAATAGACATTATTCATGATAAGTGTGTTGACAGAAAATATAATTGTTGCTGTATTAAAGTCGATGGGTAGTGTTTTTTTATTTTTAGATAAATAAAAATTGGTTCAATAAAAATAAAAATAATATTAATTAAATAGAATTTATAAAAATAAACTTACAATCAGAAGTGCTGAACAAATAGAACATGGTAAATTTTCTAAAATTGAAAATAATCAATATATTCTCGCATCAGTTCTTACACATATTCTGGAGGAAAAACCTCATCTAATAACCTTCAATTGAAATGCCACGTTTCTGTGCTTTGTGAAGTTGATTAGCCATCGAACACTGTCATTAACCAAAATTTTTTGACAACCTTCTTGCAATGACGCCTAAATAAACAAAAATATTTTAATATAATGATGATTTTTTTATAATAAAAAAAATATACACACCTGTAAATTAAAATCTTGAAGAACTTTTATCAAGGCATCTTTCAATCCCAGGATTTCCAATCTAATTGGATAAATACTTGTCCCACCAAGATTTTCCAACAATCCAATAATAAATCCTCGACAACAACAACACAACAATAATAATAATATTAATTTATATTAACAAAATCGGAATTTTTTCAATGGAACATAATAATAAGTACACACCCCTACAAAAAGTATTGACTCACTTGATGATCCGCCAAAATAATCGAATAAACGGGTAATACAAATACTCGTTTTTTTACTAAGCAAATCGATGCTGTGTATTAGTAAGAAAATGTTTTGTTGAAATGATTACCATAATAATCTAAAATATCACATTGGACCGATTGTTATTGATAATTATATAATCTTTAAAAGTCAAATTAAAATTTTTCAAAAATTATTTGAAAAAGTAGCACTTAGAGCTATTTTAAGATACAATGTTTTAACACATCTTGGGAACTTAGAAAATGTTGCTCTGTTTGTTCTCAAATGTATATATATACATGTTCATAATTATTGATCAAATATTCATGGAGCATTAATACAAAACGTAAAAATAACAAAAAAAATTTCATCAACAGTTTGTATAATATTTTTACATAATAAATCTTTATTAAATTTATATCAAAAGTATCAAAAAAGTATAAATATTTCATTCATTTATTCAATATTTTGTTGGGTTTCCTTTTGATTCAATTACAGCTTGGACCCTTCAAGGAATGCTGTTTACTAATTTTTGCAAATAATCATGATCAAGATTTACCCATTCATCCATTAAATAAGAAATTAATTCATTTGTATTTTTTTGGGAAGCAATAGTAGTTTGATCTTAAATGCTTTTATTGCATGAGTTACTTGTGACTGAGAATGATTGAGTGCACCAGTAATGTCGCAAACGCTTTTATCTGCTTCCCAACATCCAATTATTCAAAGTCTGTTAATTGAGACATGATGTTTTAATCGAAATAACAAATTGAAAGTTCAATCTTTTTTTTTAAAAAAAAATCTAGTTTTGGTTAGATATTTCAGCTGCAATTGCCCTTTAAAGTTTGTTCACACATAATGATAATTGTCTTGCATAAAAAATTCATTATGATTTTTTTTACGTTTTGTATTAATGCTCCATGAATATTTGATCAATAATTATGAACATGTATATATATACATTTGAACAAACAGAGCAACATTTCTAAGTTCTCAAGGTGTGTTAAAACATTGTATCAATAGCTCTAAGTGCTACTTTTTTGAAAAATTTTTGAAAAATTTTAATTTGACTTTAAACATCATATAATTATCAATAACAATCGGTCCAATGTGATATTTTAGATTATTATGGTAATCATTTCAACAAACATTTTCTTACTACGGTGCAGATCATCTATAATCATTAATTGCTTATAGTAACAATTGGTCAACTTCAAAATACTAAAACAATAAAAAATTTAACCGATAAGTTTTATCGTTCATGACTCAAGCTTCAAAACTTATCAGCTGGTTTTTTCTTAAACTGAAAATTGGCAGAGCCTTAGCATTTTGAAAATTCCGAATTTTGTTATACATTTAAGAA